GAGTATTTAGTAAACTTGACGCGAATAAGCATTATTTGCAGTTTGAACTCGATGAAAAATCTAGAAATCTCACTACAATAAGTACCCATCTAGGTTTAATATAAACGTCTCCCATTTGTCAAAATGACCTTAGTACTGTCAGATCCCGCAGGCGTTGAGAGTATCGCATACGATATTATTATACACGGTAAAACTCAAAATTTGCATGACCGGGCTCTAGATAAGTGTTTAACTCGGTTGTCCAATAAAGGACTTACATTGGGTTTAAGAAAATGTGTATTTTCAGTTCCACAAATTGTTTTTTTTCGGCTTCGTATTTGATAACAATGGCATGTATTGTGATGAAACCCGTATTCAATCCATTCGTGACATGAAACGCCCAGAAAATGCTTCGGAAGTGTGATCGTTTTTAGGCATGTTAGGTCTTCCTGTTTTGATGGTACCTCACTTTAGTACATTATCTGAACCAATTAGGTCTCTAACCAAAAAGGGGGTTAATTTTGTTTGGGTTGAAAGCCATGAAAAAGCGTTTAATTCTATTAAAAAGGTTATTTCGATATAAATAAGGAGACTACCCTCAGTGTCGATGCTAGTTCCGTCGGCATTGGCGCAATTCTGCGTCAAGGGGATGTGTTAATTAGTTGCGCAAGCCGAACTCTCTCTGAAACAGAAACTCGCTACAGTCAATGTGAAAAGGAAGCCCCGGCGATTTCTTGGGGTTTGGAGCATCACCGTCTGTACCTCGATGGTTCTCCCCAATTTACTGTGGAAACTGACCACAAACCGCTCGTGACGATTAATCGTAGAGAGATACATACAATAGGTAACTAAAGCGCAACGTTTTCATTTTAAAGTGGTATATTGCCCTGGAGCAAGAAACCCCAGCGAGTATATATCCCGTCACCCATCCATCGTCATTGAGAACGTCGGATTTAAAGATGACGAGTATGTCGCTTTCGTTCATAAACCTCGCGCCATTACATTGGCGGAAATTCGACTTGTTACACAAAATGATCCCACAATGATGTTTGTTTCTCGATGTTTACATATTTTACCTACTAGCGAATCCATTGCAGGAAACCAAACCCTTTCACGGATTAACGCCTTCAATACTCTCAGCACACATGAATTCTAAACATTGATTTATTAATGATATGACCGATTGCAACTTTCCGGAAACTAGTTTCATTATTTGACTCAAAATGTGTCGAATTACGAAAGGACATCAACAATTTGATAATATGAAGTGCGAAATGGGGTATGAATTGCAAATCGGATAAGTGTAACCATTCCAAGATGACTAGACAATATTGATTATGATTTCACGGTGGATGCTTACGGTTCTTACATGTACATGTGGTCGGTATAATATAGCAGTGATCTTGTGATATAGGATGTGTCTATTTTATGCTGTGTTACTCGCATCAATACATTTTTAACAAAGCAAATCCTATGTGTATACTAATTAAACACACAAGCGTAAATTATATTTATAGCATTGAAGGTAGGACTACAAAATATCTACTGGAGTATTCACACAATACGGATTTTAAAGAACACCTGATTTGTTTGAATTTACTTAGCTTAATTTTTAGGAGAGAAATAAGTGACTTTGTATTTCTGGCTAAATGAAATGTTGTACATTTGGATGTAGTTGTTGCATGCTTCACCATCTGGTTCTTATTAAAATAGCTGAGTTGTGTCTGGTTCTTGGAGGCAGTCTACGACATCAGGGAATAGCAATGCTCGTAGCTCTAATATTTGTATCAATTATGAAAAAGTATTGTTGGAAGCCACACATGTCTTAGTTTATATTTATATATGATGTATAGCATTCAGTCAATCGTACGGTTTGCCTCTTGACCTTTGTTGTTCTTACAAGCTGTCATTTACGGTTGGGCTGCCATCTTGTTACGTCTTAGTATCCGAAATAAAAATATTGAATGGTTATCTAATTCTCATGACAGAGTGATTTGCCTTAGTCGATCGTAGACGTTCCTTAACAAATTGTGGCTATCTCCCACAAAAAGATTTGCTGCTCATCTGCGACCAAATACAACAATATATTTTGTTGCATTGCTAGTAGCTAGATTAGCTATTGTATGGGCCTTTGACCTTGAGACTTTGAGTTATGACATCAAGGGCACAAATATGTAAACCTTTTCACCACCAGTACTTGCATTACCGTTTGTCTATTCGTGGAAATGTGCAAAACAAGATTTGGAAGACCATATACTTTACAATTATGCCTAGACATTTACAATTACGTTCACTATTTGTAGTTTCTATTAAATGTAATATAACTGTACCGTACCTACCCATTTTACTAATCCTTAGACATGCAAAGATTTCTGTTAATTCACAGGATGTATAATGTTATTTCTACTTTGTTGTATTTTTTATTTAATTAAACTGCAATTAAATCACAACCCCACATTGTATACTAAAAGTCAATTAATGTTGCTTTTTTGAAATTAATTTCAAATTAATTTAAGTAGTGATATAATACAATTATAATTTGAATCATCAGTCATTAGTACCTGGACCAAGATTGATATTCAATTATTATTTTCCTTAGTTTCTTTACTTTCTTTAGTTTTACAGTACCTTACATGTTTGACTTCATTTTAGATGCACCATATAATACACATGTAGAACAGATTGGTGATGCATGCTCGAAGGAATTGCGATGTGTCTCTACAGCGTATACTGAACTTAGCTTTTCCTGGGTTGAGAAGGGAGAAACCACAGAAACAATAGTTTTATATGAAGAAATGACCGTCCGTTGTAATGCGACAAATGTATTTGGTGTTGAAGTGTCTGCACAATTTATTTTCGAATGTGGTAAGTATGAGTAAGTAAGTAAGTAAGTATTAAGATAGTATATTCTGCATTATTCAGTCACGGTTATATTTGCAAGGCAGAATTACCTGTGTGTCAGATGAGAAGTTTTGTGGAATTCTAGAAACATGAATAGCGTGTTCGTTTTTGTGTTGAGGTTATATTGCCAGAATGCCGTTATTCGTTGTTGAGGTTCGGTACAGTTTTTATCGAAAATTAAAAATTCCATGCACTACGCATTATCCATGTATCATATAAACAATGACTTATCAAACATTAATAAGCACATTCTCTATGCAATTTTTAAGCAATTGGTTCAATTTTCAATTCCCGAATTGTTAGTTTTTGCACGTTTGTCGTTTATGTGCATACTTATACTGCATGACCTGAGGTTAAACAAAACGGAAGGTAGGAGAGATTTTTAATGTTCGTCTGTGTTTCTAACTTAAAGCTTATCACCTCAAGTAAAACTTGCATTCTGCCTAAGCAAGGAAAGTGAACATTATCAATATATTTGGCTATATCGAAGGTATGTTTTAATGTCGAGGTGTGTGTGAGGCTCAAAATCTGTACTCTGCGCTCTGTTCATCTGACAAACAAGCAACCTAGTTCACCTCTGCTTCTGTTGGAGAAATAAAAGTCGAGCAAGTTTACAGGCCCTGTAACCAACCGCGAGCCTTTTTTTACGCACATACATTAATGAGTCATTGGAATATTTACACTGACATCACTCTGAATTTAACATCAAAATTGCATCGCGGATATAATCATATTTGTGTACGACATGAAAATAGATGAGTGGATGTACTGCTTAACCATCACCCCATTCAACATTTCATCCTCAAACTCGGAATGAGTATAAAATATCTTACTATCGTGCAGCTGACTTATTTACTCTGTAGGGTTTTACCTCTTTTTGCATCCTCATTTTTCTGAAAATTTAGAGCTAATTGGTGACATTTTTTGGCCTTCCTCTCTTGAGATGGGTACTGCCAGAAACAATCGTACTTTGCGCATATTCCTAGTATTTATTCATACACCGTCGATTGACAGCGAGGGCACCATAACTTGCATAAGTTGCCTTGGAATAGTGATCGACTTTAAATTCATAGAAAGTCTACCAGCCAGCTCATTTTTGTCGTAATAGTTGCTGGCGGGCGACATTTGAACCCACTTTTGGCTTCTCGTTTGCTGTGTGTATTCCAGTAAACCTCACCTTGCACGTGTTCGAGTCGCCGCCCGCATATATTATTTTAAGTTACCGGACTTGCATAGTTTAAGTTGCACGACGGCACAAGTGCCACCCATATGCCAATGAGAACCACTGTACGACTTCAACACATTTTCATATCATAGATTGCTTACATTATGTTTTATAATATTATTTTGTTTGCATAAGCGCGGGTGGAAACTGATTCCTCTTGGAAACGAAACAACAAATATTTGAATATCAATACATATTGAAAAAGGAATAAAAAGCAAAACATGTTTATTAACTTTTATGGAATTGGGCGACCGGTAATTTCAAACGCTGGTGTAAATTGATTTTATATTAAATTTTCAGGGGCCAAACAGTTACCGGAAGTGTAATGTGTGTTTTTTTTATTTCATATTCAAATTCCAGAGCTTGAACTGCCCTTCATAGAATTTAATTGTAGATAGGCGAAGCACATCACAAAATTCGGAACAATTCTATTTCAATAATCTTACAGTTAAACAACTATACGATAATCTCACAAGATATAGAGATAGGTCCACATAGTACACTAAGCTCAAACATGTGTTTTTCTGTTCTAAATCTTTGCATTTAAGCTGATTTACGATGCAGAAGAAGGCCTTGTGAGTGCCAACGACGACTCGCTGAAAAAAGGACCGCACACGTTCATCAAATGGGAAATACTCTCAAACTTTGCATGAATGTTTTTTAGGCAATAACTAGGCTTTGTGACGACTGACTTGTGACGATTAGTTTTTGCAGTGAGTAGGGCTCCGTCCAACAACTGGTGTTAATCTGGGAATATCATCGGTAAAGCTATTAATTTGTCCTCATGATTTGTGTAGTTGCTCTGGCAGGAGTTCCTAAATAAGCCTTATGCTTTGCTCCCAAGTTTCTTATTTCGACCAAGATATTTGACCATTTATAGAATGGGCTCTTCATAACGCATTTTTGTCATACTGCTCAGTGACATACTGTATGTAATGATTTTATTAGTGTTGCAGGATGATAGTTGAATATTGTTTATTGAAATTAATAATCCCAAGAAGAATTTTCTAATATAGATAAAAAATTACAGTATGAAACAAATGTACATATATAACTCATTCTCAGCAATGAAAAAAGAAATATATATATAGTTTAACTATTACTAATGTATTGCAATACAACTAATTAAAATTGAAATAAGTTGCTCTATAACATATTCCATCAGTGACACTTCTCGAGAACGTATTTCGCGGTCAGTGTTATTTACAAAAATATTTGTTCACAATTAAACTGGCTTGTCAATTCCCACCAACTAGATATAATATCACAGCTTGTTTGCAAATTTTTAACAAATCCAAAATCACTCTCTATAATTTTGTTTACTTTGCATGTGTACTGTGTTTTCATTTGAGGTTTTTATCATTTTAATGGTGTACACATTTCAATACAGGTTCACACTTGAAAATACCCATGAAAAATTAATTAGAAAAATTAAATGTTAATATCCTGTTTTTGCTAGCTCTTAGGCCCATAGTGTTTTATAAAACGTGTGCTAGTGTAATCGTACACCTTATATCTATATAATTTTTTGCTGAAAACTTGCGTAAAGAAAATTGGGAAACTGTCTTAAGGGACATAAATAACTCTTTTGTAAATATGTTACAGCGAAAATAAATGCAGTTCGAAAATTATATAGTGACGCCGTTTGTATTATTTGATTACAGATTCCCGTGGGAAGAAATATTAGTGCTGTAATTCACTCTGGTAGGGGAATATTGTAAAATACCTTATTTTCACTGGAAATTATTTTTCGCTATTTTCACAGAAGGAATGATTCAGTGAAAATAAAATCCAGCGAGTATAGCCTTTTTCCTATATTTTACATTAAACTTATCAGCGTCATAAATTCCATACAAAACACCCAAAATATCTTCCCAGCGAATATTGATTCCAGCTAACATAAAGTATGGCATGTGTCTTAAAAAATGCAATTTAATGCCTGTGAATTTCACGCCAAACGTTCACTCAGACTTATGAATGCAGTCTCACTTTATGATGAGTTGTACCTACCTACATACATATTCATCCACCTGTTTGCAGATGTTCCATGTACTACTTTATCATTGTGAGTATTTTATAATCAAATGACGGGAACTGTGACATTTATGTCTTGTTTCATGTGATTCCTTTTTACTTTTCTTTGCGAAGCTCATTATAGAAGTCTTTGCAGTTAGTGTGCATGTATGTGTGCGTGTGTATGTGTGTGTTACCAACGTTGTGATGACTTCAATTTAACTTTACACCGACTTGTGACAACAGGACCAACATTGTGA